TCTTCTCCTCCTTTTCGGCCTTTAGCACTGCATCCTTATCACCTTTCCATTCTTTCTTCTATCTTTTCTCTGTTTCTCCCTTCTATAGGACCCTGTTCCCTTATATGCTCAGAAGGCACGCCTCCTATCTCTTCGTCTCTGAACCACCTGATGATCCCTCCCGCTGCCCTTCCAACTTCTCGTTTATCCATCCTATTTATACTCCTCCTCCTCCACTTTCTCCCCCTCTTCTTCCTTGTCTCCATCTTCCTTCTCTTTCCCTTCACAACCTCAAATCCTTCCCCTCATCTTTCCCTCTCCTGTCCGTCAATTCATCTGTTCTCTTTCCTTCTTCTTTCTCCTCCCTCTCCTCTGTTTGCCTCCTCACCTTCCCCCCTGCCATCTTCCCTGCCACGTACTGCCCCACTGTCTTCCCTTCTTTCCTCAAGCTCTGCATTCTTTAGGCCTTCCTCTCTGCCTTCTTCTTCAACCTGCGGCTGGAGGAAGACCAAGCTTTCCCTTGCGAGGCTCTCATGCATAGAGTCTCTGGTACATTGTTTCTCATTCTCCTCTCGTGGCTCTGCAACAAAGAACAGAAGAATATAGAGCCGAAATGAACAAATATTTAAGCTAATGGAATTGGTTAATGAACTCGCAACTTTTCAAGGCCGCATTAGCCTAAATGTGTATCAGATGAATGGCAAAACAAGTTCACCCCAACCTGGAGCATGTCTCTTGTGTTCCATCGATTACCGATATCAAGTAACAACGTATTTGTGACAAAGCTGGCCAAACAAATCCACTAGAAATCCTAAAATGTAATACCAATACACCTACAAGCAAACCTGCGCCTATGACAGACAGCTCTAAAACTCATTAATCGCAGCCATAGACTGGGCAGACTGCTCTGATATTCTCGCCCCAGTAGTAGCTCTTCTAGATTTATCGCAATTCTCCCAGTCCCCAGTCCCAGTCTCTCATTTCTGACATATGTGTTCACACAAAAAGCGGGGATATTAATCCATGCTTAACTTCATTGAAACCAATGCACGCATATCCTGTGCGTTACATTCCATGGAAAAAACTTAGAGTCGAGAGCTGGTGACTCTGTATCTCCGTCCACTTAACGTACTCATGCCACTCATACTCGGACTGTGGTGACGCCACACAACTTAACGTCATCGCACTGCGAAGTGACCAGTCGATGATGGAAAAGAGTCTCTACCACAAAGTACTCAAAAGTAGTGATTTGACTTATTATGCGCTTAGATAGCGCTTTAGCATAGATTCCCTAACATAAACAATATGTTGAATCTAACATGGGTTTAAGCCAGTGACGGAATGGAGCGCACCGGGCGTTTCCAGCGTAGGTAACGCTATTCCATCTCTGGCACACTACTATTCCTTGCCGCTGTGGACCGGCAGTCAAGTTGTCATATCTAAATTCAAAATTACAAAAAAATGAGATATATCGACACAATAACCACACTACATATTATTCACTACAGAAGAGCTATACAATATATGCGATTCATATACACATCGGGGAAAAAATAAGCTATACCATCTGGATAAAGCAGATATCAATAAAAAACAAATATGGGACATGCTAAATGTCTAATCATCTCCAGTCTGTGCGCATCCTGAAGCAGTTGGCGATTTTGTTATTTCGGATAACATAATAGCCCTCTAACAGTTATACACAAAATAAACTTGTTGCGGGCGCGGCACTTGGTACCTGCGTAGCCCCTTATGCGCCGGTTGTTGAGCCTATATTACAAGCCCACTTCCTTGCTCCGTTTCTATATGCACCAGGATTTTCTCACCGTATAACACAACTGGACTTCCAATGGATTGCTAACCGCGGTTTAATGTCAAGGCGCATGACATCTGCAGTACAATAAATTTGTCTGGACTAGGGTAAAAGTTATCTAATTGAATGGTTTTAGCGCAATTTGCATAGCCATTGAAGCATGTGATCATCACTTAATCAGTACGAATTATTCCTATACGTTACAACTATGACGCACTTAACTATCATAAAAATGCATGGAATATCAATTAGTTCATAAAATAGTCCACAATTTTCAAAACTCAGCATTTATAATATGTCTGGTGCAGCCCTCGTATACTATGAGCAAATTGTCAAAAGAAGAAAAGAAGCTAGAGATCAAGAAAGCCAAGAATGTTAAGAAGTAGAAGCAAGCAAGAAGCTTTGATACGACCCACATCATTGGAAACGAGACTATATCTGCTCTGTTGACTATAAAGATATACATGATTAGTACTGATAATTACTAGACTTAATAATGTTATTATGATTATATATATCACGCAGTTCCGGGGGGGCAGCCTAGTTTCAGAAGACTAAAGAATGAATTACTGTCTTATCGTTTTTGATTCTCTGGAGAAAAAGTGAAAATGTTTCTTCCTAGTGACCGTCCCTGCATTTAATAAATCCAATTTTTACTGTTTTTATGTTCATTTTGCTAAGGCACTCGATAGTAAAAGCTAATGGATAATGACACAATGAGCCAATAACAAGAAAAGTAAAAAACAATACCACTGAAGAACTAATAAAGAAAAAAAAAGGGAAGATACTAACAGAAAAGGAAAAGAAAAGAAAAGAAAAAGAATAAGAAAAGGAAATAGAAAAGAAAGAAAAGAAAAGAAAAGAAAAGAAAGAAAAGAAAAGAAAAGAAAAGAAAAGAAAAGAAAAGAAAAGAAAAGAAAAGAAAAAAAAAGAAAAGAAAAGAAAAGAAAAGAAAAGAAAAAAAGAAAAGAAAAGAAAAGAAAAAAAAGAAAAGAAAAAAAAAAAAGAAAAGAAAGAAAAAAAAAAAAAAAAAAAAAAAAAAAAAAGAGGAGAGAGATGCCATGAGGCTGACTCACCTTCTTCTTGTTTCCCCTTTGCCACATCTCCTGCCCTGGCACTGTCTTGGTCCTTCTGCGGAGACATATTGGTGGGTGCAGGAACTGGGATGGTCTCAAGGTCCAGTCCAATGCCATTTATGCCCTTGGAATGGGCATCCTTCTCATCGGAAAACCCAAGGGGCTGAGGTAGAGGGATAGAGCTAGGGTCTGGGGCAGCAGGAGGGGGAATGGGTAGAGGAATGCTGTCCAGCGCAATGAGGTCACTGAGGGTGCCCTGCGGCCTAGGAACGATAGTGGAACCCGGGGTGGGGATGCTGCTAACATCTATGCTGGTGGTGCTATGGGCCTTGGAAGCATCCACTCGTCCCACCCTTTCTCTAGCCTTGTCCAGCAGGTCACACACCTCCCGGGAGTATGATGCCTTGGCTCGAGACTTGGACCTGCTTCCTGAGCGATGACTTGAGGAAGACCTCCCAGAGGGAGACTTGGAACGCGACCTGGATGACCTTCGTCTCTTGAAACGTTTAGGTGAGGCAGACCTAGAGTATGACCTCGAAGAACGTTTTCTCCTCCGCCTGTCTGATGCAAAGGGGGATCTGCTCCTTGACTTCCTGTGGGTTCTAGAGTGCGACCGTGAGTAACTGTGCGGCTTTGACCTAGACCTGGACCTAGACCTAGAGTATCTGCTGTGACCTCTACCAGCCGACCTGGAGCGTGAGCGACGGCTGGTCCTCGTATGAGAACGGGATTTGGAAGGTGAGCACGATCTGGAAGACCTTGAGTGATCTGTTTTTCTGTGTTTCCTGCTAGACTCCTCTCTGGTCTCTGTCTCCACCGCCAGTTTGCGTTTGAGTTTGTTGTCTGACTCAACCAACTTGGGAATTTTCTCTGGCCTCTTGGGACTTTCTGACTGGGACGGCAATTTCTCTGGCTTTTTGTCCTCTGGGGATGGTGGTTGGATCTTCTCCTTGTCTTTCTCTTTCTCCTTTGGCTGCTCATCCGCCTCTGCCTGCTTAACCTCCGATCCCTCTTCTGCCCTCTTTGATTCTTCTCGGCCATTGTGCTCCTTCTCAGCATCTTTCTTCCTTTTCTTCTTGTGCTTGTGCTTGCTACCACCTTCCTCTTTCTTCTTCTTTTTTTTCTTCTTTTTCTTCTTGTCTTTCTTCTTCTTGGAGGACCTATGACGCTCTGCCTTTTCCATCTCCTGACTGCCAGCCTCGATCAATTGAACCTCATCCTGCTTGCCCTCCTCACTTGCACTAGACCTCGAGTCACTGTCCTCGTCTTCACTGTTGTCTGATGCAGGTGGGACCTCAGGCTCTGTACTGTCCCCCCTCTCCTGTCTGTTCTTGCACTCCTCTTCACAGGGCTTGGGTGACAATGGTACATTCAGAGAACTGAACAGCTCATTGATGATCTCGTCTGAAGTCTTAGTGCTCTCTATATCTTCCATCTGATGAATGAAACAAGAAAAAAATAAATAAATAAAAATTGGATTAGCCTAAAAACTAAAGATCAAGCACTTCTGTGCAATGCCTAAGGAAATCTAGTTCAATTCATTTCCATTACAAAAACATGCGATGATCATCATATTTACTGTTGTTATCACTATAATTATCAAGAAAGAATGCTAATATTCCTACTACTTCTACTGCTAATAAGAGCAATAACAAATATAACAATAATAATAATCTGATAACAATAATGACAAGAATACTAATTGCCATCACTTAAAAAATCATATACCCATATCAAGCTTAACCAGAAAGTCAGAAACAAAAAAATATTACTCTTAGTACAACTGTTACTACCATACTACCATGATTTGTATAAGATCATTATTAGTTGATAAGATAAACTCTATGTAAGAATTATCTTTTCTTAAGCTAGAATTCTATCCAATAACTTTAATGATTACTAATAGTATCTCTTTGCCAACTATATTATAAATATCATCATAGCTAATGAAATTCCATTCCTCACTGTTATTATTAAATGATATTACTAAATAACTTTTTATTAGTCCAATCTACTCAAGGTGTCTTAACCACTGTGTTGGCCAAAGCATGGGCTCACTACACACAGTATCAAGACAATCTTGACACCACTCAAACCATCTTATATATTTCGACGGTCAGACCCAGTAAAAT